ATATGAAGTATGAAGAAGAAGAAGAAGAAGAAGAAGAAGAAGAAGAAGAAGAAGAAGAAGAAGAAGAAGAAGAAGAAGAAGAAGAAGAAGAAGGAGGCAGTAACAACAATTGTTCCTTACTATCAGTCCATTCCTCCTCGCAGAAACAACTCCTACCCCATAAGCACTCATCCCTCCCATCAACCTACCTACGCTCCAGTATACAATACCTAACCGTATTACAATGCTCAACCCCAATACAACCCACCCCGAGCCTATATAAATGCAAACCCACTATGGCCATATGCCCTTGTCCAAACGACCACCCATCAAAATCGACCCGCCTATGCACCACGACCACGCCCAAACTTTGAAGAAAGAAGTCCCAGAAAGTATACTCCAATCGCTGAACCCGTTGCCCAGTTGTTTGAAAGATTGAAGACAGCCGGGCTAATATACACAGTGGAAGGGATAATTCCCCAACAACCTTTCAAATATTTTGATACAACCAAGCGTGCCTACCATTCGGGTATTCATGGGCATGATACTGAGGACTGCTTCCAACTGAAGACTGATATTGAGCTGCTTATCAAGAGTGGGGCCATCCAATGTACCCCGGCTCCACCAAATATGAATTGTAACCCATCGCTAAACCATATAAATCAAGGAGCTAACATGATTGCGTTGGACGAGGATTATGATATGAAGGGGACCATCGTTACAATTGGGAATGCTGAAGCTACAATATTTCCACCTCGAAAGAGTCCACTGATTATTGTACAATTGAAACCTCAAGTGATGGGTCAAATATACCAGCAACGGTCCACTACCACCGTCAGAAATGAGGAGAGTCGAGAATACAAAATAGTGTCGTTGACGTACCACCAAAAGGGAAACGGTAAAATGACAAATTCTGCATCTGCTCATGGGATGACCGACTCAGGTGGATAATACATTCCAGAGGATATAAACCGAGAGAACCCGAGTAGAGAAAAGAATAAAAGGAGAAACATAACAGATACCGAGGCGGCAGAGTTTTGGAGGAAGATGCTAGTTAAAGAGTATTTTGTGGAGGAACAGTTGAGGAAGAACCCTACACACATATCAATCATGGATCTGCCGATGAGTTTCAACAGTCATAGGAATGCTTTACTAAAGGTGCTAAGTGGAGTAAGTGTGCCAAGCAATGCCACTAGCGAAGCATTAGCAGCAACCATTGGAAAGATAGTTGAAGCAAACATGATTTCCTTTCAAAGAGATGAACTCCCTGTGGAAGGTGTGGATCACAATAGAGCTTTGCACATCATAGTCAAGTGTGGGGATAAAGTTGTGTCTCGACTGCTTGTAGGCGGAGGATCTGGACTAAATATTTTCATGCTCTCTACTTTGGGAGAATTGGGTATCCATTTAAGGGAGGTGAAGGAAAGGCATTAAGAGTAGGAGCTTTCGTTGGGTCGCGGAAGGATGTCATTCGAGAAATCTCCTTAGCCTTACAGATTGGACCAATTGAGTTCCGAATATTATTTCAAGTGATGGACATTTCGTATTCGTATAACCTGTTGCTGGGAAGGCCCTAGATACATATGGCAGGGGCAGTTTTCTACACCCTCCACCAATGTATGAAGTTCGAGTGGGATTGCCAAGAGATTGTTGTAATTCATGGACAATGGAGCTGGTCAGCCTACTTGGAACATGCAGTTTCTTTCATACAAGGATTGGATGGGGTCGATTTTCATGCAGTTTAGATCATGCTTGCAACAGAGATTGAGAGGAATGAGCAGAATCATGGAATGCATTCACTGTACAGGTTGAAAATGGCAATGAGAGAGATGATGAAGTATGGGTACCGACTAGGGAATGGGCTGGGAGCCTGATAAAATGGGATAACAGAGCCAATTGAACCAAAAGGGCAAAAGGCCAGAAGCCAATTGGAAAGACTTATATTGGTAATCCTAGGATGAAGGCTTTTGTACCAGAGCATGTTCCGGGTCCGGGTCAGAGCTCAATACTAGAGGATGACATCGTTGATGGAATGGGAAGATTGTTCGTGACTATGATCGAGGAATTCTGCAATGAAGCTGATATCAAGACACCGACCATTCGGGATGCCAAACTAGAAGAGACCTTGCAGAATTGGACCTCCAAACCATCTCTGGTTCGCCGAGAGTTTTGATAGTGTGGAAATGTAGTGATTTGGAAAACCGCACGGTCAATTGAGTCCTGAACCGTGTCTGTACTTTTTTGTCAATTTCCTCTTTGGACACCGAGATGTCCCCTTTGATGAAATAAAAGTATTATTTTTCTGAAATCATTCCAAATTCATTTTTAGCTCTTATTCATATTTACTTTTCCTTTTCAGTAATCAAATCGATAAAAATTCACATTCCGTGATTATGACAAATAGTGAAACCCTTGAGCAAAATGATCCAGACTACGAAGAGTACGACGAAAGCATGATGCCTGAGAACCCCTCGCAAGAGATCGAGCAGTTGGAAAGCCAGAAGAAGCCCAACCTTGAACAAATAGAAGTAATCAACTTGGTAAATGAAGAAAATGTGAAAGAAACTCGAATCAACATCCATATGAAGGCCGAACAAAAGGAAGAATTGGTAGAGCTCCTCCGACAATACATCAATATGTTTGCTTAGTCATATGACGACATGCCTGGGTTAAGTACCGAAATTGTCTCACGTCGATTACCCACTGATCTTGCCAGACCGCCAGTCACACAGAAGCCCAGAAAATTCAAGCCAGATTTGAGCCTAAGGATAAAAGAAGAAGTCACCAAGCAAATAGAGGCAGACGTAGTGAGAGTTACCAATTATCCTACATGGTTGGCGAACATCGTACCAGTACCGAAGAAGCATGGGATGTTTAGGATATGTGTGGACTATCGAGATCTCAACAAAGTTAGTCCAAAGGATGATTTTCATCTACCAAACATTCATATCCTAATCGATAAATTCTCAAAGCATGAGTTGTAGTCGTTCGTGGATTATTTCTCTAGGTGTCAGTAGGAAGGAATAGAGTTGGATCCTTCAAAGATCAAAGCCATTCAATACTTGCCACCACCCCAAAGCAAGAAGGACGTGATGAGCTCCTTGACAAATTAAACTACATTAGTAGGTTCATAGCCCAGTCAACGGTAATCTACGAGCCTATTTTAAAGTTGTTGAAGAAGGATGCCGCTACAAAGTGGACGAAAGAATGTCAGAAAGCTTTCAACAGAATCAAGGAGTATTTGTCAAATACGCCAATGCTAGTTCCTCCCGAACCTGGAAATTGTTGTTGTTATACTTGTTCATTCTAGATAATGCATTTGGATGCTTGTTAGGACAACATGATGAAACTGGAAGGAGGGAACATACCATCTATTACTTGAGCAAGAAGTTTACACCGTCTGAATCCAGGTATACCTAGTTAGAACGGAATTGTTACACTTTGACATGGATCGCTCAGAAGTTAACACACTACATGTCAGCATACACCACGTATTTGATATCTTGACTCGACATGCTCAACCACATATTACAGAAACCAATGCCTATAGGGAAGTTGGAAAAATGGCAGATTCTTCTCAGCGAATTTGATATTGTGTACGTGATGCAGAAAGCTATCAATGGACAACCATTGGCCGATCATCTCGCAGATAACCTGGTAGACAAGGATTACGAGCCACTCACCACATACATCCCAGATGAAGAAGTGTTATTCGCAGGGGAGGATATCACAGAGTCATACCCAAGATGGAGAACGTTTTTCGATAGAGCAGCAAATTTCAAAGGTGTAGGGATTGGGGCAGTTCAAATTTCCGATTCAGGACAATATTACACGGCCTCATCCAAGATAAGGTTCCCTTGCACAAATAATATGGCAGAACATCTAAGAGCTTCTAGTCATAGGAGATTCTAATTTGCTGATACACTAAGTTCAAGGTGAATGGACCACCAAAAATATCAAGATCAAACATGTTCCTCGAATCCTGAATGAGTTCGCCTATGCGCTTGCAACCTTGTCGTCTATGATCCAGCATCCAGACAAGAATTACATCGATCCCATCAAGATAGATGTTCGAGATCAACACATGTACTATTGCTATGAGGATGAAGAGCCAGATGGTAGACCATGGTACTACAACATCAAAATGTTCCTTGAAGTAAGAAAATACTCGGAGAATGCCACCAAGGCTCAGAAGCGAGCACTAAGAAGACTAGATAATCTTTTTTTCCTTAACAGGGAAGTCCTGTACAGGAGGACCCCGAACTTGGGTCTGTTAAGATGTGTAGATGTTGTTGAAGCAACAACACTACTGTAAAAGATACACGCAGGAACGTGCGGGCCTCACATGAACGGTTTCACTTTAGCCAAGAAGATTTTAAGAGTCGGATACTTTTGGATAACTATGGAAAGTGATAATATCCATTATGTGCAGAAGTGTAACCAAAGTCGGATACTTTTGGATAACTATGGAAAGTGATAATATCCATTATGTGCAGAAGTGTAACCAATGCCAGATTCATGGTAATTTTATCCGGGTTCCACCTAATGAGATGAACATAATGGGTTCTCCTTGGCCGTTCGGCGCTTGGGTCATGGACGTGATTGGACTTATAGAACCTGCCACATCAACAAGACATTGTTTCATCCTTGTAGCCATCGACTACTTCACCAAATGGGTCGAAGCTTCTACATACAAGGCTATCACGAAGAAGGTGGTGGCAGATTTCGTCCAAAACAACATAGTCTGTTGGTTTGGGATCCCATAGTCAATCATCAGTGACAATGCAGCCAATCTCAATAGTGATCTCATGAGGGAGATTTGCGAGAAGTTTAGAATCGTCGACCGCAACTCCACTGCCTACAAGCCACAAATGAATGGAGCGGTAGAAGAAGCCAACAAGAACATCAAAAGGATCTTACGGAAGATAGTGGACAATCACAGACAGTGGCACGAGAAGCTATGCTAAGCCTTATTGGGTTACCGGACCATTATGAGAATGTTCACCGGGGAAACGCCATACATGGTTGTATATAGCACAGAAGTTGTAATACCAGCAGAGGTCGAGATACCATCTTTAAGTGTCATTCAGGAAATCAAGTTAGACGATGCAGAATGGATACGTGTCAGGCAGGAGCAACACAAGCTCATTGATGAAAAGAGAATTGATCCCGTATGTCAGGGTTATCTATATCAAAATAGGATGTCCGATGCATTCAACAGAAAGTTGAAACCTCGACAGTTCACAACGGGGCAGCTTGAAGAAGATATTCCCTCATCAAGAAGAAGCCAAGGGAAAGTTCGCACCGAACCGGCAAGGTCCTTATGTGGTCCGTCGAGAATTGTCGGGAGGAGCACTAATCCTAGCATAAATGGACGGCATAATCAGCACGAAACCCATCAACTCAGAAATAATAAAGAGATACTACATTTGAAGACAGTAGAATCAGGGTTTGGTTATAACAGAACTACGCCTGACCTAACTTCCCACGGTAGGATACTTAGACAACCGACGTAGGGCTCGTTCTCTCTTCCTCCCCCTTTTTGTAACAGAAAATCCAAATATAATCTTTTGTATGTATTCAAAACTATGTCACGACTTGATTTCCTCTAGCAGGATTACATAAGCAATCCACATCGGATTCAGTCATCTTTTGTAATTGAACTGTGTTTTGGCCTGATTCCATTTGGATAAATAGGCAATCTGAGTCAGACTCGACAACTTCATTTCAATTACTTATCATTTTGCATCTATTTTAATCGAACTACGTTTTGACCTGATTCCATTTGGATACGTAGGCTGCATGAGTCAGGCTCCGTCATCATCATATTTTATTCATTATTTTATTATCCCCGAACTATGTTCAGACCTGATTCCGCTTGGATACGTAGGCAACCTGAAAAGGTTCAGTGATCGTGGCCAACCCTGCACCACTATAAAGTAGCAAGGAGTGGTCGATACAGATTTACCCGATAGGCCGTGATCGATATCCATAGGGAGTTAATATTGGTTGGGAGTTGGGTTTCTACCTAATCTAGCTGTGCGTGTTATTTCCAATTACACTTCTAACCATGATTGGGATTGTTTCTATTCTACTTTTAACGCTGTTGATTACTAAAAATAATCTAAGTACAATATTTTTTGTGAGAGTTTTTCAAATGATAAAAAGCACTAGGGAAGTGACTTACGCCTAGGCGTGTATCTAATGGGATTTAGAATCTAGGACAAACTTGTTGTAATTGGGGTCGTGATATAACCTTCACACGTAAGTGCTCACTGTACACCTCTCGGTAGTTTGAGTGACTTTGCCCGATTTGGCTTTCTCAAGCCTAGATGGGTGTTCAAACAATGCAAGTGAAATTGGCTCAAGTCGGGTATTACTATCTCTAGGTTTAACCCTTTAATTGGGGCTATCAATCTCTTGAGTTCACCCCAATTCCTTGCTAGCCTATTTTTCCTAGACTTGGGCCTTCTTTCTCAAGAAGAGCCTAAGCCAAAAAGGCACGAATCAGTGTTTGCAACCACCAATTCTACAATTAAAGCATAAAAAAAGCTAAATATCACTAACCCATAAATAATTAAGCCCTAAAATTGAAGACCCATTAAATACCCATACTAGGGTTGGGTCACAACCCTAGATAATTGGTCTAGCTACTCATAATAATGATAGAAATCACAGATGGAGATGTAATATAAGCCATAAAAGTCAAATACAAGAACAAAATCTAAAGATAGAAGCTAAAACTACTCTCAAATTACTCAAAATGGTAAAGTACGACTGTTCACGAGCTCCCTAATACAGAACTTGACCTAAAAATATGAAAAAGATCTATTTATACACAACTGAATTTTCTGGACAAAAATGCCCCTACGGAGGTTTCGCTGACAGTGTAAAAATAGGCGCCTCAGTGCTTGGACTTTCGCGTCCGCGCAATAACGGGCGCGGACCGCGTTTCTTCAAATCTAGGCTTGGACTAGACTAGGTTTCGCGGACAGCGTAAATACATTGCATCCGCGTTAGCTTCAATCGTGCCTGAGTATTATGTTCGCGGACCGTGTTCCTCAGTTAGGTTTCCCTTGCCAAGTCTCTGAACCTTTTATCACGCTCCCAGCGGAATTTCCACCGCATCCGCTTATGGTAACTTCGCGGCCGCATAATTTAGACGCGGGCCGCTTTCTTTGTTTGAGCAAAGATTTCAAGGCCTTTGAACCTCGATCATCGCTGTCAGCGTAATTTCCCTCGAGTCCGCGCCACTGGTTTTGCGGCCGCGCTTTTGTAGCGCGGTCAGCCGTGGTGTTTTCTCTAGATTGCAGCTTCTCTGAACCTCTATCTCGCCGACCGCGGAATATTATCCACCTCAGCGGTGAACCCTACGCGGCTGCGCTTTTTTATCGCGGTCTGCAGTTCAGTTTCAGCCTTTGGCTTGTGCAAGTTTGACTCCTTTGTGAGCTTATTTTGGCTTCTTTGCCTCATTTTGACCAAATCCTGCAAGCAAGCACATTATGTTAGTTTTCGGGACTACCTTTAGCATTTTTTTACCCAAAACCTAAGCAAAAGAGAGCAAATAATATGCTAAAATTCCCAGTTATCATTCAGCCATAACCCTTGAAAGACACCGTTGTAATGTATTTATTTGATTAGGACACGATCGCGATAGCAAGGAACTACGTCATCAAGGGAATCAATAGGAATTGTCAGCAACGGGACAGAGCCATTCAGAAAATGACACTCGCATTAGAGGGAACTTCTAAACATATCATAATCTGGAACGAAGACATTTGCCATAAAAATGAACGGCTTCCAAATAAATTTCTATAAAATTATGATATCACCTACCGAATGTCACGACCCAAATCGATGGGGCGTGACGAGTTCTCANGTCATACCCATATGTATACAAAAGTATCGTACCAAAACTCAATAGCAGCTCCGGATCAAATGGATCACACCAACTCTCGCTGAGCAAGACTCCTAAGATGGGGGACCGTAAGCCTGTCGACCTACACCTGGGGCATGAAACGTAGGCCCCCCAGGCAATAGGGGCGTCAGTACGAATAATGTACCGAGTATGTAAGGCATAAAAATTAGTATATAAAGAGACATGAAAGAAACATGGAGTAAAGGACTCAACCTATAAGTCTGAAAAGATATGTGAATCATGAAATATTTATAGTGTCATGCATATGCATATAAATGTCATATCATGCATAGGTATAGGCATACATAACATCATCAAGCCTCTGAGGGTATCCATTCATATCATCTCAGCCTCTGTGGGTGAAATCATAAACGTATACCAGCTGATCAAGTGGTGGTGCGTATATAACGCCATAACCTTTCCCCGTACCCCATATACATATACTATACGCGTATATAATGCCATCTGGTTATGGGTTAGTATACATGTAAAAATGGATTCAATGCATAATGAAGTAAGTCAATAAGATCTCTCGGAATGTCATGAGACCCATGGACAGATGATACAATATTAGGAAATATGTGGAATCCAAAACATAGGCAACCCTAGTAATTCTAAGAATAGAATCATTTATGAAAGTTGTGTGCTTGCTCGTTTCGTTGTATCATATGGATCGTGCCAAAAGGAAGGAAATGATAGCCTTAACATACCTCAAGTCGTCAATGAAACTCAATCACAAGCTTATGATAACTAGCACGCCAACCCTATAACAAAGAATACATGCACGACTTAGATGACACTAGTGTATTACGTATCTCAATCGATAACTCGATTCTAAAATAAAATGGGCTGTATTTCCCCTTCTTTTACTGCTCCCTCAAGCCTACTATAGGTGAGATACATATACAATACAATCAGCAACTCAAAACTAACCTAATTACAAATCAGGACCTTCAATACAACAAAAATCCCAAATATACCATAATACACCCAATCAACAAGTTATCAATTAGCCTGAAACTGCAACGACGAGCGACCAACCTACTATCCTACCACATGTGGCATTTCTTCACGCCTTTTTATCCTTCCAAACTCCATAAATCAGCAGCACAATAGGCCATCACGAGTGGACTACAAAATAGTCCACTAAAAGTGGAAACAAACCGAACTCACGGCTTCCGATCACCGTCCCGTGAGTTCTAACTATTAGGAAATCAATTTATCAACCTTCCTTGATATTTAAATACTTAAATACATAATTAAACATTTCTTAACTATGAAGTACCTTACAAAACTCGAGCTACAAAGAAAAAAGAGAGGCGGTATAATGATACTTACGTCGTAGGGATCGTTCTGATGTTATCGCTTCTCAATTTCGTATTTGGGATGTTAGTATTCTTTGAAACCCTATGAGAGAGCTCAAGGATATGTTTTATGGTATTCTCTGGTCGGGTTCTATGTAAAAATTTAAGAGATACGAGCTAAGACCTTATATATTAACTTTTGAAAAGTCAAAGAGGTGCTAGCTTGGCACCCTCGCATTGGCCCATCTTCCGACGCTTATATTTTTTTATCCGAATGTCGTATGAACAAAGGGTTTAGTGCATTGTAAACTAAATTCCAAACCTTCAATTTGGTAAATAATATGTCCCAAAAAGACCTCATATAGCACACGAAATTTATTTCTCAAAAAGCTCTGTTACAAGAAAAATATTATATTTTCTATCCAAACATCATATATAGTCATATTATGACTTTAAAATCATGATTAACAAGTCTCTTATTCATTATAAGTCACCTTGGGATGCACAGGGTTTAACAATCTTCTCCCCTTAGAAATATTCATCCTCGAATATTAAACTACCAGAGATCTATAGAAATTTTGGCAGAGTCTCCTCTGTAATGGTACCACTACCAACCTGTCAGACAGAAAATCCAACAATACAAAGCCACACAGGGCCACAATCATCAATAACAACAATGGCCTCACACAACCAATGACAATAACTAACATAAGAATCAAGTACGAAATTTATTTCTCAAATGTCAAATTCTATTTTATCCACACGGTTTAGCATAATCTTCAACAGCAGCACGAAATATAAAGTAGAACTTGACTGCTTACTTTTGGACATGAGAAACAATGGAAGGACCACTTCAAGCGACACTCTATAGATAACTTAAGAGAACNATTGATTTCTCTAGGCCTCAAACATGTACCCAACTTCATAGAAGATTTGGTTTTGCACACTTTCCCTCTACCGTTTTTCCCTATAAAATCTGATTATAAAAAAATATTTGATGTCTTTTACAAGTCCATGGGGTCTATTCTAGATGAAGCTGAGAAGCTTGGACTGAAAAGAGATGAAGCATGCCATAACTTTATTTTTTTAGCAGGGTTCAATTCTTATGGTGGCATGAAAGTTTTCTTCCCAGCTTTGATCAGGTGGGTTGGAGCAGCAGGAGAGAGTTTACACCGTCGTCTCACCCATGAAATCAGAACCGCTGTTAAAGAAGAAGGTGGGGTCACCTTTTCAGCGGTGAATAGGATGAGTCTGACCAAGTCTGTGGTGTATGAGACACTAAGAATAGACCCCCCAGTTCCATTTCAAACTGCAAAGGCCAGAGAAGATGTCATCATCCATAGCCATGATTCATCATGCTTGATCAAGAAAGATGAAATAATATTTGGGTATCAGCCATTGGCCACAAAGGACCCTAAGATATTTGAGAACCCTGAGGAGTTTATTGCAGATAGATTTGTGGGAGATAGAGAGGAATTAATAAAGTATGTGTACTGGTCAAATGGTAAGGAGTCAGATGATTCAACAGTGAATGATAAACAATGTCCCGGTAAGGACCTGGTGGTGCTCTTGGGAAGGTTAATGTTGGTCGAGTTTTTCCTGCGTTATGATACTTTTGAGATCGAATTTGGAAAGTTGTTGCTTGGTTACAAGGTGACTTTCAAGTCAGTAACCAAGGCGACATCATAAATTATCTTTTGCTTTATGCCGGATATATATGGAAAATTATTATCCAAACACGAGGGTCTGTAAGCAAGACGATCAGTTGTTGTGACTTCATGTTAAATCGATTTATTAATATGTTTTAATGTTATAATTAAGCATATTTATTTTAACGAGAATGGCGGATCTAGAATTTTAGATTGTGGTTACTTAATTTTTTTTGACATAAACTTACTACCAATCACATAGTACAAGTACAACTATTTGAATATGAAGGTAAAGGAGAAAACTCATATTCATATTATGGACGTTGTGAATCTGTGATGAGAACAATTGGCAAGAAAATACAACGGTGGATCACTACTAAAAATCCGGGCAAAACTGTCCAAAAAAATAGATCAAAGTTGGTCGGTAAAGGCCAATGACCGTCCAAAACGCGACCATTTACTTGTGAACGGTATTTTGAAGGTCGGAAGGGTATACCGACCAAAGTTGATCGGGAAATTACCGACCAAAATTGGTCGGTAAGCTTTAAACGACCATCTAACAATGTAAATTGGTCTACCAACCAAAATTGGTCGGAATATTATTTTATTAATTTAATTTTACCGACCAAAGTTAGTCGGTGTATTAAATTTCTATACCGACCAACTTTGGTCGGTACTGAAAAATATATTTTTTTTATAAATTATTAAAATTTAAAAAAGCTGACCGACTTTGGTCGGTAATGTAAAATATATTTTTTTTCAATAATTAAAATTTAAAAACTCCGACCAATGATGGTCTGTAAACTGAACAGTGCAGGCAGAAAACCAATCAAAGTTGGTCGGTAATGTTGAATTCTGGGAATTCATTGTACATTAACCGACCAACATTGGTCGGTAATATACAATTTAAATTTTTTTTATTATTATTTACCGACCAAAGTTGGTTAGTTTTTTGGGTTTAATTTTGGCATAAAATACCTATTTTTGGTAGCTACACCACCTGCCAAATAAAAATAGCATACCAATACCCCCAATTCACATCTAATAATCACCAATTCACCTCATAAAATCCCTAATTCACCACAAATCCAACAAAATATCTAACAACAACAACAACAACAATAACAACGACAACAACCAAACATCCAATTAATACTTTAAAACTAACAAATTAAAGTTCAATTGAACATCACAATCCCAAACCAAGCAAAAACTAATTACAACAAGTTAAAAATTGTTCAATCTAATTCAAAACTAATTCTATTAGTCTAGTTCAAATTATATCGAAGTATTGGTCAAGGGGTATTTTCTACAATATTATCATCACCGTCTAATAAATTTTCATCTACAAGACGATATAGAGAACGGTTTTGTGGAGGACGGGAAGAACGATCACGGGAAGGACGGGAGGAACGATCACGAGGAGGACGGTAGGAACGATCACGTGGAGGTCGAGCCTCTGGCGACGACTCACGAGACTGGGGCAACGGAAAAGTTCCAGTAGATAGGAGAGTTCTGATCTAAGCTTGCATACCAAGGAATTGATCATCTCTAAGTCTTTCTCTTTCCTTGGCCGCTTTTACCTCGGATGTAAGTTGTGTCACTGTCTCCCGCATAGCCGAGAGGCTCTCCCTATTAAGTTCCTCGCCTTGCGAGGAAGTCCCTATTCTTTGCATTCCACACCTATACCGATGAAATTTTTCGTAGGAAACCTGTATACCTTTTCCCATTTTGGACCGCCAACAGCCTCCAACCATATTCTTTCACCATCCTCGTCCGAAGGTTGGCTTGGCTCGCCTGATTCACCAGATGGCTGACTACGAATGAGCTCCTCCACGTTACTTTGGTAGTGACCCTATATTATTTTAAGTTAAATTAGTATTTAAAAATTTATATAAAAGTAAATTATAACACTTAAAGAAAATTGAAAGCTTACATATGCAGTCTCTGCCCGGTCCTCGACCCACCTATCTCCATCCCCCCTCCCCCCCTTTTTTTCTTCTTTACAATATGCGTCTCCTTAAATAGCTCATCATGGCTCATTGGACGCCCATACTTCTTTTCCTAAAAATAAATTAATTTAGTTAATAAATAAAATTAATATACTTAGAAAAGTAAATAATTTAAGCAATTACCAATCTTCTTTTTATTGTCCCTAGGCTGATAGGACCCCCAGTGTGCAAGGAGCCTCCATTCTCGGATGAGTGAGCTTTCTTTCCTTTTTCGCTCCTCTCTAAGAAATCTGTGGTAAGCCATTGCCTTAACAAATCATTCCATAAATGTGAAGACACCAGCTAGGCCTCTTGTTCTTCTTTCTAGCATCCGAGAAATTATCCGCCAATCTCTTGTGAGCTTTATGATAAAAATTTGCAGCCACTTCCGCGCTATAGCGGTCTTCCCATACACACTTGCTCTGCATTTCAAAAGTTAAATATTAGATGAAAACATCATAAATATAAATTATTAAACTGCTTAAAAAAATATTTATACCTTAAACTGATTGAAAATTTGCTCTTTTAGCGAGAATGGAAAATCAATCCAAGCGCATAAGGGCCATCATAAATCTTTTTGATGGCATTGGTGATTATCTTCGTAGTCTACTTACCCGGCTTGAACTTGCAATTTAATAGTAAAACACATGAATATATTAGTAAAAACATTACAAAACAATAGACGCAAAAATAATAAATAACTCTTACTCGTCACCCTCAGGGACTATGATGATCCTGCCATAGTGATCATAATGCACTACCTCTGGATCATCATCCTCATCATGTGTATTAAGGCATGTGTAGACGGTGTAGGGGGCTCAGAGATACTGTCTCGCAGGCGAAGGACTGAAATAGATCGAGTCGATGATGAAGATGGCTACGATCCCTGTGACTGCGACATAGCTGGATGCGACCCATGTGGCTGTGATACTGATGGTTGTGACCCGAGTGGCTGTGATATGGATGGATGCGATCCATGTGGCTGTGATATATACGGATGCGATCCACGTAGCTGTGATACAGATGGCTGCGATGCAAGTGGCTGTGAGACAACTGGACTATATGTCGGACATATAGTCCTATGGCCCTGTGATGGAAGACCTGGTGTCTAGATGAAGGTGTAGGCCTCGTGATGCCGTGGAAGCTCAGTATAGCCGTGTGATGGAGGATAAGACATAGGCATCTCTGAAGAGGGTGGAAAAGAGGGAGTATTATTATCTACCTTCCTCTTTCCCTTCCTAGCCTTTTCTCGACCCCGAAAACTAGTAGGGTCATTGTTACCTTGACCCTTGCCTACCATCTACATAATATAATACATATTTAGATTGAAACATATAAGAAACTAGTTATAAAATGAGAGTGCTTTAAAAAACTAACTTTTAAATCCTTGTCGACGTATTGTTCCTCGTCCGAGAATTCCTCGTCCTCACTTATTTGAATTTCATCAGTTGATTCTTCGTCCTCATTTTCTATAATTGTTACTTCATTTATATCAACTTCTTCCAATATGCGTTCAGGATGTTCCAAATCATTTTCTAACTGATCGTCAACTATTTGGTGAACACTGGAAATATCGTTTTGATATGCAAATCTAACACATTCTCGACTTTCACCCTACCTACATGCTTAGTTTTTATTACAACCCACCAATCGGACTTATTCCGCCACAATGGATAAGGAGCATAATACACTTGCCTAACGTTATGTGCAATTATGAAAGGATCATAACAATCATACTCCCTAGTATGATTAACCTCAATTATGTTGTATTGGTGGTATACTCTTGTACCTCTTGTTGGATTTGGGTCAAACCACTTGTATCTAAAGAGAATCAATTTCTTATATGGCCAACCTGTATATTCTAGTTGTAATATTTCTTTGACCACACCATAATAATCAATATCTCCAACTTGGTTGCCATCACCACCATGAACCCACACCCCGCTGTTGTTGCTATTTTTATTTTTAGAGCAATCCTCTGTATGAAACTTATAACCATTCACTACGTACTTAGACATTGTTGTGACCTGAAGCCTAGGTCCCCAAGATATATCTTTCAAAAATTGATTTTCACTATTATTTGAATTATTTACCTATCGAAAAGCCGAGGGTCTATCGGAAATAGTCTCCCTGCCCTGGGCCAGGAGTAAGGCTGCGTACATCCTACCCTCCCCAGACCCCACTTGAGGGATTATACTGGGTGGTTATTGTTGTTGTTATTGTACCTACATAGTGTTAAAAAAAATCATAAGTTAACATAACCGTATAAATATAGCGGGAACTTCCGAAGAACATTATTAAGATAAATTTACAAACTGTTTGAACCACGTATCAAGTCTCGTATATACAACATCATGGCCAAATTGACCACGAAGTGAATGTGACACATCAAATATTTTTAGTAGTTGCATCAATATGTAATCACAGTAAATTTTACATTTTGATAACTAATAAATCAATACTCACTTGAGAAATGGTACAACTTCGGGACAATTTAGCAACACATGAATTGTAGCTGACTTGTACTCCATATCACTCAAACTTGTCTTTATAACATCCTTAGAACATCGGCCTGGTTGATTGAATATGGACATTGGTGGATATAATGGATCATTCACACATTCGACAGTGTGCCTATTGGGCCTATTCCTGGAACATGGCATATCACTCTCAAAATAAAAAGAACAAAAATGTGCAGTTTTCTTTGCAAGACAGGCTTCGCATATAGATCCTTCAATCTTATTCCTTTGCTTAACAAATTGTTTGCATTTTCCAATTGTCCTACATTATGTCATGTTAGCCAAGAACATTAAAATAAAATAGAATATTACATCAAACTTATAATATTACCTCTCAAAGGGATACATCCATCTACATTGAACAAGCCCTCTAAGTCGTGCCTCGTGTACAAGGTGGATTGGAAGGTGTTCCATCACATCGAAGAATCCACATGGAAATATTTTTTCCATCTTACTAGAAGTTACACGAATGTTCTGATCCATCCGAAGTAGGTTTTCTTCCCTTAATATGGTAGAACACAAGTCTTTGAAAAACAAACTAATCTCTGTGATGGGTTTCCAGATTCTTTCAGGCAAACCACAAAATGCAATAGGCACTAAGGTCTCCATGAAAACATGACAGTCATGACTTTTCAAATGGCTCAACTTCCCTACCTCCATG